CTCACTACAGGGTGAGCAAACGGAAAATGCACTAACAATGCTTGCTTTCAAACCTTCCATTGGTCAGACAAACAGATAGTCCGGCCCCAAATTCACACCATTGGTTGAGCCAAAGTTGGCAGCTGTCATCAATTTTCTGTCTCGTATGCCATCAACCAACAAATAGCTTACATACAGTTGTCTCAACACATTAAACTGGAATATGTATTTTTAACATTACACTTTGACAATTCATTCAAAAAATGACACTTTTCCTTTAAGTAGCACGAATGCATTTGAATCTAGCATCCTAAATACTGCACAAAAGCACAAAAGAACTGTGGATCCAGCCAAAAAGTAAATCATTCTTTAATTCATAAATTCAATATTTTGTGCATTTCATTGTGAGCCAAAAAAAAATCGCACTTAACCGTAGACTCTTTTTTACTATAAAATCCTACTCCAAGCCCAATACTGACAACATGTTTCGAAAGCTGAAGTGTAAGTGAGCATTGCAGGGGTGAAATGGTGCTTCAGAGAAACCATAGCAACCATTTTTAAGTTGCCACTCAAGTAATATTCATTTAGATTGTTCCCATTTGGCAGCACACCGCTGTAGCCTTCTTCCTTTCACTTTATTCCTCTGGGGAATGGCACAAAGTACAAATCCTTATGGCAGCCGCCATAACAACAGTGGTAACAACAACAAGATAAAATGTATTAGAAATGTATTAGAAATGGCATCAAAAAGACAACATGGAACGCCTTTAAATATTATTACCCCTCATACATGTGTAAAATTTTCCATTGGTTTCATTGCCATTTTAATTTTGTCTATTGCCGCTATGCCTTAATGTGAAATGCAATCAGGGTAGTCAGCTAGTTATGATGCACTTATTTTACAGAAACTTCAAGTGTCTGCCCCACATTTCCCACGGTAAACCATGCAGGGATTTGCATAAATTTGCATAGGCCGTTCAGAAGAGGAAACAACAATGAATGAGACAAATGGCAAAATGCGCCAGACACTGAAATACAAGCAAGCTGTATTTGTACAGCGTTAAAAACAAAATTGCATAAACTGGGACAGCTATCAGCTGCTAATCTGTATGCATTTTGTTTTCTAAAAATTATAGCTTTAGCTCTACAGCTGTACACTCTAAAAAATGTTGGTTAAATATAATCCAGCGCTGGGTTAAAAAGGGACAAACCCAGCTATTGGGTTGTTTTGAACCCAACCGCTGGGTCAAAACAACCCAATCACTGGGTCAAAACAACCCAACTGCTGGGTCAAAACAACCCAATAGCTGGGTTTGTCCCTTTTTAACCCAGCATTTTTTAGAGTGTAAGCTTATATGATATGAACAACTTTAATTTTCCTGGTGTGTGATATGAAATTGCATTATTATCAAGTAATTATCAGAGAGATGATTATGTGGCTTTGCCGTCTGGACATTTTTTTTAAACGATTTTGAGCTCTTAGCATTCTGTGTACTCTGTATGTTCAATAAATAAGTAAGGACAAGAAAAAAAAAAAACTTAATCAATAGTGCTCTGAGGAGGAGAGATGAATAGAGGTCTTGCTCATAAATAAGCTCCTCTGTCTTGGTATCTCATTTAATTCACATTCAAATCCACTGTGAATAAAGACAGATTCGTCACGCAAAGCGAAAAAAAAAAAAAAAAGCTTGTTAGAATAAAATTAACCACCAAATAATTTGTTCTCTTCGAAGAGATAGTCCACCCAAAAATGAAAATTCTGTCATCATTTAATCACCTTCATACCGTTGTATACCTGTATGACTTTGTTGCATCTTGAATCACAAAATAAGATATTTTAACTCTTTAATGAAAGTCAATGGGGTCCAAAATAACACTGGGCCCCATTTACTTTTATTGTATGCAGAAAAACAGTTTAAAGAAAAGACAAAAAAAAATGCGTACGGGTTTGGAACAACATTATGACAGAAAATTGTCATTTTCGGATGAAACCCTCTTAATAGTCTGAAGGCTTTCAAATCTCTATGCATTATATGTGGTGCATCAGTGACATATTTCATCATAAGACAGGAAACTCATATGACACTGATTTGTTTGATGGGAACAGTTTGCTCCCTCTTACCAAGAGCTCATGCTGTGTTTCTTTGAGACAGATTGTATATGCCTCACATTTCATGTCCATTTGTCTTCAAGCTGCCAGAAATAGATGTCACAGAGTCAACTGTTACCAAATAGAAGAGAAAAATTATTCTGGAAAAGCTGGAATGCAATAAAAAAAAGCTCCTGTGCCAGAGAATTGGTGTAAGATATGTTGGTTTGCCCTTGTGGTTTTTGTAAGCAGGTAAATCTGCATTTACATGTATACTGTAAGTAGACACTATTTGTCTAGTATGTTATATGAAGGTATCTTTTCCATGATGGGTTTGGTCCTCAATGACTCTTGGTCATTGAACCTGTGGCAATATTTGAATTGATGTAAATGCGAGTGAGCTTTTGAATAAATTTTTCATGAATAATAATACAAATGTTGGTCTCTTCCCACAAAGCTGCTGTTTACGATTTATAGTTTGAGAACCACTTCTAAGACACTTTTTGTTTGTTAATTTTTGGAGTTTGGAAAGCCCATTTACTCTCATTGTAAAGAAAAGAGCAGGCCAGTGCATTCTGCCTCACATTTCCTTTTGTGTTCTGTGGAAGAGAGAAAATCAAAGAGGTTTGGAGCGACATGGGGGTGAGTGCATGAACTATTTCTTCAACCCTTTCTTTTATGCTCCTTGAACCAATATTTGCAGGGACAAAAGAAGCAGTCAAATACTGCTAATGCATACTTCCAATTATCAGATTCTATTAAGGATGGTTTATATATATATATATATTTTTTTTTTTTTTTTACTAAATAGAGTGCTCAGACCAGAACTCTTGTTTTATGCTAGAGATTATTTTAGTAAGAAACAGAGGGAAAAAAGCAAGTGGCTCTAAAATTCCCAGAAATCATTTTTTATGGAACATTATGTTCAGAGATCTTGTGTTACTAATGTTGCAAGGCAAGAAGCTAAATATATCAACAGCTTTAACCCTTTACATAAAAGTATGTCTGCAATTTATAAACCTGTTACTGTCTGCAAAATAGAAAAATAAATAAGTGAATTCAAATAAAAAATGTGTTTCAGCAAAATTTAACAATCAGTTTAATCAAAATATATATTTAATGTGTATGTAAAACAAACATTATACATATTTTTTTTGCTTTTTTTATTGCTAATTGAGACTTTTGGTTTGATAAGACATGCATAAGGCACCACTATTGTTTGTTGCTGCATAACAATATATTGTGAATCCCATATTAAAGACTCGGGCCTACATGTGGAAAAAAAGTTGGGTTATTGTGAAGTCAAATATGATCTCCTGGTCTCTCATTAAAGTCACTAATGGATTCCAAAATCCCTTTGTCTCACCAGGCGCTGTAATGACAAAGAGGTTGACCTGTTGAGAGAATAATAATGAGGTGTATGATCCCAACTGCAACCACCCTGATAACCTCTTTTCTTATTTTGAATCCATAAATTTCACTTGGTGTGGTCTGAGACATCCCTGTGAGGTTTTCAGTCCAAAAGGTCATTCCAAGCTCCATGGTGATGCCACATGAATAATAGTCAGTTGCTCTCAGAATGTCAGTCAAAGTGATGAATAAAAGGCTAATTTGATCAATTCAAGTGATGTTTCATTTTTATTTGTTTTTGTTTTTGACAGCTTATATGATGTTTCATATCATCATCCCATCCCCCTGTCAAAAAATACTAAAAGATTCCAATAAGAATCGAATTAGAATTTCTATCATAATTTGGAAGCATTCTAATGAGATTCGTATAGGAATTGAGATATAAGAACAAGCTGCTGCAAAGGAAATGAACAGGATAGGAACAAAATCCTTTGTACACCTTCCCAGAAAGTCCTAGATAGGAATCTTATAGGAATGTTACAAAATATGATAGAAACTCTAATTAAAATTCTGTACAGTTTACTTATTGGAATCCTTTCAGATTTTTTTTGACAAGGGTGATTTCATCATTCCAC